GACAGCACAGCACTGGATTCGCTAGCCGTATAGCCACTGCCTCGGCTGTTGCTAGCCCCCGTTGGGGTAGGCCCTTGGAGGAGTTGACTGGGGTTCGGTAGACAATCTGAAAGGCTTCATTATTATCGACTCGGTGATTCGTATCGACGGGGTGTGTGGGAATAGAAATCGAGATCAATCTAGTGTCACCTTTACTTAACAAGGCTGGTATGTACTCACGTATAAGCGGTGGCTCAGGTCCCATATGAGTGGGGCTGTCATATCGAGGAAGAGTTGTTTCGGTCGTTCTGTGAGAAACGAGATATTCCCCCGCCATTTAGTAGCATTCCACGCCAAAACGTTTAGTATATTGTAGGAGTTATGAAGCGCGTCAGATTTTCTAAAATAAGGAATGCGACTCAGTCTCACAGTGCTTGTTTGACGGGTCCTCTCTCCCTCCTCATCAGATAAAATTTGCGTCGGTTTTTTTTACGGTTTTTTGCCACTCAGTTTTTAAATGTTCATTTTGGCCGGTACGCCGTGTCATTTCAGAACTGAAGCACACTCACTTGCGCAGACTTGGCAGCTTACGGGCGCCACGGCGCGTGTTTGCTTATTGTTTAAAAAGTCAACTTAACCCCCACATTTTTTAACTCTTTTTTGTCGCAGTGCCCTATGGAGTGTATCTGCTGCCACCGATTGAAACAAAGGGTCTAACGGAAGATCAGGCGGGTGAATTGATGGATAAAACGTACGCTGCCATGAAGTCGCTTTTCGACCTAACTGCTGCCGCCTCTCCCGAAGAACTCGGCTCCGATCTGAGGAAGAAGCTGTAGCATGCTGTGCTTCCAGCTTATTGTAATAAAAGCTATTTTTGGACAAAAATTGCTCCATCTCTGTGTGATTGTTCCCCCCTCCCTCCCTCCGTACGCTCTTTTTTTATATAATTCACTAGCCCTTCTTGACTCCGCATCGCCAGCTGTGCGGTATTTTTCCCCGTATTGGGTATCTTTGATTGGGAGTTGGGCCTCTATTGGCTTTGCGGTGTAGTGTGATGCATTGTTGTATGCTTCCGATCCCTATATACTATTGACAATTTTGTTTCAATTAAATACGATGAAAATGCAGTCTTCCTTGTCTCATTTACCTTCTGAACGGGAATTCCTCGTCTTCATAGACACCGTTGTGACCTCTTGACAGCTCGATTGTCGTATCTGGCGATGCCCATTGTGTGTCCCGTCTCAGGGACGGTGACTTGCGCTTGAATTAGATTATAGTGAAACCAGGCTTGCGTTGCATCTACCGTATTGTGAATGTAGCCAAAAGTTGAGATCTCACCGTCTAATTGCGCCTTGTGTGAGTCCACAAGGAAGAACACAACAAGGAC